AACTGCAGAAACTGTCCTAAATATGAAGCCACGGCGATCGCTTTCCCCACTCTGCAGGCAGAAAAATACCTGTGACAGTCCAACGCACCACCACATTATCTGCCTTACTCTGCAGCAGGTTTAATAATTCACATCATGTAGGATGATTGAGGTAAGCACCGTCATTATCTATTTATCAAGGAAATAACAAATCGAACCAACAAGAGTTGAAAAAGTTATTCAGAGCTGCACCTGAAAATGTTTTCACATTAAATTAAAGATGGAAATATTTTACTACAGGACTGTCAGTAATGCTGCCAATTCTTTCCTCAACTCTTTGTCTATAATTCACATAGAAGAAAATATATCAAAGCAATAAATAAAATAACATTGATTTGAAGTGATGGACAATAAAGAAATAAAGGAGCAAAATGAGTACAAATGGACTGATCCTTTACCATACTCCTGTTAAAAACTTTCCTGTTAAAGATTTCTCCTTTTTTTCTTCTTTTTTCCCCCTTAAATTAGATCTTTCAGATAAAATTTCTTAATGTCATACAAAGGCTACCTCATTAAAAACAGAAATCGGTTTTTAAATAAATAGTTTCCTTTAGCATGACCTTAGCAGTTTTTTTTTTTTTTGTATTTTGTGATTTAAAACCCTTGAATTGCCTAAATTATAAGGTCAGTTCTTAGCACTTGTTTCCCTTAATAGATCAAATCATTTCAAGATTTATTTTTCAAAATATTCAGATTATTATAATAGGCTTTCTGTCTAAAACTAAATTCGATGATCTGAAATACTTGCCAAAAGAAACTGTGAGGATTCAATGCTATTTAAAGCCTTGTAGAAGCTGCCCAGCCAATAATCATTATATTTAAATCCAAAAGATTTCCCTTCTTGATTATACCATGATAACATTAATAATACTATTATTACCATAAGATTTGTCCAAGCATTTACACAATATATCATAATTTATGACCAATGCCTGCTTCTGTGCTTTATCATGTTTCCTTGACATGTTTCTAAATGTTTAAAAACATTTTATGAACAAAAATGAATATGTTTTTATATTTTTTGAAGAGTAAATGATCTTAGTTTAAAATGTCTCATAATCTTTCCACCTATTCGTTTATATCTTTGATGTAAGTTCTCCTACTGAAACCATTTTACATTAGATTTCTCATCAACTGATTACCAAGATGCAGCTAATCTGGTTAAAAGGAGTTTTTTTTTTTTTTTTTTTACCATGACCATTGTTAAACCTTCCAGTCCAAGATATTGAATGTTATATTATTTATTACACCTCTAGGTAGGGCTGTCCTGATGCAGCTTAGAGAATTGACCAATACCGATATTGACCCGATCCGATATTAGCACTAATCGCACATTATCTTATTACTTATTTTGTAATGTAGAATGTTAGAAATGCTTGATCAGGTCATATTACTTACGGTAATCAGAGAACAATAGTCGACAACATTACCATAGGTACAGTATGAGAACAACTGGCCCATGTAATGTAAACCAATGAGTAACGGAAACTTTAAGCAGAATTTTCAATCAGGCTGATTTAATCCCATATTCGTTTTTTTGCCTAATATCAAACAGATGATATCGGATCGGGACACCCCAACCTCTAGACTCTGTCTTTGGGTTTGTTTCGTTTACTATCTACATCCTATCCCTCAGACAATAATATGTAAAAAGTGCTTTCTGCTGCCTCATTTAATAAAAAAACTAGGTATGAGGAAAAAAGCTACTTTGTGCTATTTGGGGTGGAAAAAAAAAAACTAACTTTAATGTCACCAGAGTCCTAAAGAAATCAGTTTCTTAATGTATATGTAGGATTTTAAGGGTGGTTTTTGCCGGGCTTTGAAAGCAGTGACACGCTTTACCAATTGTAATTGGAAATGCTTTTTTTTTTTAGCAGATCTCTTTAGGTATTGATTGTAAGAACAATAAATACAAAATATCATGATACAATTCTATGTTCATATTGCCCAGCCATAGTGTAACATCATTGTACTGTTGGGTATCTTTTTCAGATGTTCCTGATTTCAAACACCTGTATACAACTACAGTAAACACCCTTGAACAGCATAATGAATCCATAACAGGATTTTATAGAACTTTAACTAGAAGAGGAGATATTTCAGCTCTTTTACTCAGGTCAGTTGGACACATCAAATAGTTGCAGGAAAAGGTCCCAGGGGTTGGAGTTCAAATCATTTCAATATTGTTATAGTATCAAACAAAGGACATAACTCTCTCCATCTGAAATGTATTCAGAATGAGCAAAGTATAAACTTCAAAAAAATGAAATTAGGTAAAAATGAAATTAGGAGTGTCCCAATACAACTATTTATTTTTCGATACCAATACTACAGCTTTAAATCATACAGATATTGACCCATTATGATACCGGCATGAATGATACATACTTTCATTACTTATAGAAAGAATATTTGATCATGTGATATTAAACAAACAGAGAACAGTAGTTAAACAACAATAGATGTGAGGGAAACTGACTCATTTATTATTAACCAAAGGGCTGCATAAACTCTAAGCAGAAAGAAGCAGAGTGTTTCTATTAGAATGTTTACAGCAGAGATTTTAAATACAGACTGAGATGAACCAAGACTCAGTTTAGCTGATATTGATTTCCAATACCAGAATTTAATTAAAAAAACAAATATTAAAATAGTTGGAATTGGTTCCTGGGAATATCAATAACAAAATAAAATGTCATGTTAGATTACATTGTAAGGATTGCATTTCTGCCAGAAGTATTGTTTTTATCTATTAAAAACAATAAGCAGTTCTTTTCAAGAACAATGTGTCTTTGACATACCTTCAAATTTCTGTTTTGATTTCTATTGCACTTAATTTCTGTTTGGTTGATTCAGACCGTACAAAAATCTTATCAGATACAAATTCATTTAACTGTTCCTGTTTACCATGTGGTTACCATGGGGACCGGAGCTTCCCGCCTCTGGAATAAGGTTCCAGCTGACATTCCAAACTCAGACACACTGCTTCCCCTGTTTAAGCCAGCCTTCTCGCCTCCCCTTCTTGTATTATAGACAGAAAAGGAGGAAACATAACTTCCCGCACTGTGCTGCATAGTGCTCTCCAGTAAGAGCAAGGATTGGGCAGCAGGGGGCCAAAAGAAAAAAAGAAGGCTTTCACTTTGGGACTTATCCAGGGTGGGACATAGCTGTTCTGGAAATATCAATATCCCTGCTTCAGTCAACCGAGCATGCTGACTCAGCAATTTTCTGTCTCCAGGAGTACATAGTTCAGAGATAAACTGCTTACGATTGATGCTCAACGACTAAACCACAGTCTTCAATAAGAGGAAGGAGAATATTAAAGGATGGGTAAAGATTGCTGCACCTTCACTGCTAGAAGCTAAGTAAGAAAAACATCCCTTCTTTCATTTCTGCCTTTCTGGATCTATGGGTGTAATCACAGCTGCTTTATTCACCTCTCTCCCACTCCTTTGGGAACAGGGCGAGCAATCTCAATCCCACACACAGATGCATAATTCTGGTCATTCTAAGGAAGGCTGCAGTTTGGCAAAAAGGACACTGATGCAACCTCCCAGGAGGTCAGAGGCAGTAGTTATTATGAAGGTTAACAATACTGTGGTGAAGCCCCAACACTTTGGCCTGACCACAACAGAAAACATGATTGAGCACAGAAACAAAGTGACGCAGACGTGTGGTCAAGAGCAGGTGGATGATATGTAATCAGAGGTCTTTCTATCAAAGCCTGCATGACATAAACACCACAAGCCTTCCCAAAAGGATAGATCTACGCATTAGCAGACAGGCTGACTTATCAGCTCGTTTGCCTACTTGATATGCCTGATAAGAAACATTTAAGTGAAATCATGAGTCTGAACTGCAAACTTCTTTCTCCAGCATCAGTATAAACACTGCTCTCAGTTTCTGGCGTGCTCTAAATGTGAAATTCCACACAGCCTAAAGTTAACAAAACATTTAACAAGAATTTGCACCCTGGTGAAACATCCACATGTTCAGCCAAGCTTCCCCGCTGCAGCTGGTGTATTATTGAACTGTTCATTTAAAGAGCCAGCCAGGCCTTTAATACCTTCTCTGCTGTTACAGGCAAGTTTTCCATGCTTTACAGTGACAGCTCATGTGAAAGAAAACTAAAAATGCAGATTTGTTTCTCCCTAAGAGATAAAAAATAAAAACAAGTATCAACTAAACACAGGTCAAAACAATCCATCCCATCACAACAAATAATGTTTGGGTACTCAGTTATTGATTATTTATACATTTATTGTAACTGACTGGGAAATTATTTACCAGTATCAGGTCATAAGAGCAGTAAAAATATGTTCAATCTAATATTTAACTATAAAACAACATGAAAGGTAAAGAGAACCTGGACAAAACAATGCATGAGGAAGAACAAAGATGTAGGGTGTCACCCTGCTGCTGAGGCAACAGAAATGATCACAACTTTCCATGTCAACTTTACTTGTTCCATTAAAATAGGTAATAAAAGGCAAGTTCAACATCTCAGTGTCTATCCTCCCCTGTAAAGTACAAAAAAACCTTATCAGTTAAACAAAAAGTAAGTTTAAACCAATGCAATTATTCACTAAACAGTAAAATATTTTATTTTTAACTTATAATAAAACAATAGAGTTAAACATATAGTTGATATATTCTATTTAAGTTTTCAGCTGATAATTACATGTTAACTAATGTCAATTTGGTCGTATATTATTGAAAGAAAATGTGCCTTAGTGACAGTCAGCAGAGGGAACAGGTGACTGAATCTCTTCCAAAAAATGAGATCATAATATAAAAAAACATCTGAACATCAATAAAAGCAACAACAAACCCCAACAAAGGGACAGCAGCTTGTCAAACATCAGGACCACAGCTAATGGTAGCAGGTCTGCAGCAGAATCCATAGGGATAAAAACGCACCAGAACCGGGTCAGATAACCTGACGTTCAGCAGAAACTCACCTTGGGTTTATAAAGCCACTTTCTGAAGCGGTTCATGGCTCCTTCCTTTGTCACAGCCACTCCTCAGCTCTGCTTTGCCGGGTCGGTTGGTCGGGAGCCTCACGGTGACGGTGGACTGCTAACCCAGCTAGCTGCGGTCGGTCCCCTGTCAACCGGAGGACCAGACACTGTGTACGGGATGGTTCTCCCAGACTACAGCGGGGATGTGGAACAGAACAAAGCAGATAGACGGGAAGTTATTCCCATTTTTCCCTCAATTCCAAAGCTCAGCCTGCCTCCTCTGCTCCGGACACCAACCGACTGACGGCTCCGCTCCCCTCTGCCCCCCTCCCCTCCCGCGAACGTTATTTCATGACGGTCACGTTAGCAACAGTCCCCTCCCACTTTCTGAGTGATGGTGCCTTCACGGGCCGCTCCAACCAATCAGCAGCGATGGGACAGACGTTACCTGTGAAGGGAGGGAGGACTGTACCTAGACTGTTCCTCCTCAACTGAGCAGACAAGTTCTACAGGTTTGTGTTCAAATCTGGGAATCTATAAACCGCGTTTGTGGTTGGTTTTAGTGGTGCTATAATGAACTTTCAGTCTAAGCAGTGGCGGTTCTAGACCAAATTTAATGGGGGGCGTCAGTGTGGGTTTCCACGGGGGCCCAGAAAACCAATAAAACAACACAATAGTTAATTATGTAAAACATCCTTAGGCAGCAGATGAAAAAAGAGCTACTTGCAGCTCTTCATTTAATGAAGGGAAATTTCCACCTCATTTAGTTTCATAAAAATTTTAACTAAATAACTGATTGCTAAATAAATATCTCGTAAATAATTAAATAAAGCTTTTTTTTCCTTTTTTTTTTCTTTTGGAATATCAGGTCAATGTAATCTCATACTTAAGGAATATCACGTTTATTTCAAATGAAAATGCCCAGTTTGAATCAAGTCATAAGTAGAACTTAAGTAAAACTGAAAAGTTCAGCTGTAACAAATTATGGTATGTTTTAAATTTGGTTTAAAATAACATTTAGCAGATGAAAACTGTGATTATATCTCAATACTGCTAAAGCTTTCACCTTAATGTTTAAATCAAAATGAAAACAGAACTTAAAAGAAAAAACATGAAATCAGGTCAAAGGATCCATCTCTTACCATGTCTGTTCCAGTGCATATCATCTTTACAAATGTATTTATTATTATGTCTTCAGCGTAACGGGCCATAATAGGGGCCAGGATCAGTTCTACAGAGGGACTGGTCCCTCTTGGTCCCTGTCTAGAACTATCAGTCTAAAACAGTGTGCAAACAGTTTTCTGTGGCCAACAACAAAAATATTAAATAGGTATTTGGTTCAAAACAAACAAATTGAAGGACGAAAGTCCATAGAAGAGGTGGAAAATAAAACAGTATGGGTGCAACAGGAAAGCTTTGGGTCAATGACCATATGCAGGAAAGAAGGATGACTTTTCCTAAACTGAACCTATGGAAAATTGTGTTCAGTTTGTTGGATCTGTCCAGACCTCCTTCTGTTTGAAGCCTGTGATCAGACATCTCTGATATTGCTCTGCTGAATCTTGCTTTGAAGCATCTAAAGAAAAGTAAAAAAAAAAAAAAAATCAGTTTTACAGTTAATGTTGACTATAATTACCAGCCTCATATTTGTTGATAATATTTACTTCATTTATATCTTACCCTAAGGTTTTATCTGTGACCGGTCTGTGCCTACAATCCCCAGCAGCACCTGAAAGCAGCACCCATCTCGCACTGACGTCACGTCACCAACAAAGGATCCGGATCCCACGATGATAACCTGCGTGGATAGAAAACACTGTTGGCTATAAAACGGTTGAAACAAAAACTCAAACTGTAAAACAAACCTCCTATTACAGGGTTTATTGCCAATTTTAAAGCCACTTCTGTTAACATCCGGTGTATGTTGCTAGGCAACGGGACGCTGTGTAAGGTTATAGACTTCCTAATCATTGACGGTTCGAGACGCTTGCAAGCCAAATGTAACACGTTCCAGGCTTAAAGAAAAAACATGTTTTGATAATATTGCCCTCCTTATATAAAAGTTCATCTCTGGAAGCACGAGCTGAAGTTTTTTTTTTATTATTATTATTTATTTACTATTTTTTTCGTATTCATTTTACCTTTCCAAAGTTTAAAAATGCCATCAGGGCTCGGGTCCCTTATGAAGCAAGCTTGCGTTCTGCTCGACAAGTTCTCATCTGACAACCGATGTGTGGACGTGTTCTTAGAGGAAGCTTCCATGGATCTGCAGGTAATATTAGATACACAAAGAGTAGCTGACATAGATGCTAGAAATGACATCTGAAATAACTTGTAAAATAACTTGTGCAATGTATAATGTGCAATTACATACCAATCCAATACCCTGTGAAAAAACCCTGTTTAATAATCCTGCTTAAAAAAAAAAAAGAAAAAAAAAATTTCAGCTGACACAAACACACACATACACAGACATACTCGTACTGCCATCGTAGTGAGGACCATGTATTGACTTCCATTGATTTTCAGTCATTTTCAAACCTTTCTATACCCTAACCCTAAAACTAACCCTAAATCTAACCTTTACCAATGCATACCTCACCCTAACCCAACTGACACCTTAGCCCTGAACCTCACCATTAGCAAAATAGCATGTGAGGACCGACATGTCCTAACTTTGCAAAAACTGGTCCACAATTTGATGATGAAAATGGAAAAAATGGTCCTCATGGCTAGACAGGTACACACACACACACACACATATATATATATATATATATATGTGGACCCCCTTTTGCCTTCAGAACTGCCTCAATTCTTCGTGGCATAGATTCAACAAGGTGCTGGAAGCATTCCTCAGGGAGTTTGGTCCATATTGACATGATGCCATCACACAGTTGCCGCAGATTTGTCGGCTGCACATCCATGATGCGAATCTCCCGTTCCACCACATCCCAAAGATGCTCTATTGGATTGAGATCTGGTGACTGTGGAGGCCATTTGAGTACAGTGAACTCATTGTCATGTTCAAGAAACCAGTCTGAGATGATTCCAGCTTTATGACATGGCGCATTATCCTGCTGAAAGTAGCCATCAGAAGTTGGGTACATTGTGGTCATAAAGGGATGGACATGGTCAGCAACAATACTCAGGTAGGCTGTGGCATTGCAACGATGCTCAATTGGTACCAAGGGGCCCAAAGAGTGCCAAGAAAATATTCACCACACCATGACACCACCACCACCAGCCTGAACCGTTGATACAAGGCAGGATGGATCCATGCTTTCGTATTGTAGACGCCAAATTCTGACCCTACCATCCGAATGTCGCAGCAGAAATCGAGACTCATCAGACCAGGCAACGTTTTTCCAATCTTCTATTGTCCAATTTCGATGAGCTTGTGCAAATTGTAGCCTCAGTTTCCTGTTCTTAGCTGAAAGGAGTGGCACCCGGTGTGGTCTTCTGCTGCTGTAGCCCTTCTGCCTCAAAGTTCGACGTACTGTGCGTTCAGAGATGCTCTTCTGCCCACCTTGGTTGTAACGGGTGGTTATTTGAGTCACTGTTGCCCTTCTATCAGCTCGAACCAGTCTGGCCATTCTCCTCTGACCTCTGGCATCAACAAGGCATTTCCGCCCACAGAACTGCCGCTCACTGGATGTTTTTTCTTTTTCGGACCATTCTCTGTAAACCCTAGAGATGGTTGTGCGTGAAAATCCCAGTAGATCAGCAGTTTCTGAAATATTCAGACCAGCCCTTCTGGCACCAACAATCATGCCACGTTCAAAGTCACTCAAATCACCTTTCTTCCCCATACTGATGCTCGGTTTGAACTGCAGGAGATTGTCTTGACCATGTCTACATGCCTAAATGCACTGAGTTGCCGCCATGTGATTGGCTGCTTAGAAATTAAGTGTTAACGAGCAGTTGGACAGGTGTACCTAATAAAGTGGCCGGTGAGTGTATATACCCATGCATCTTTTCTTCTGGCACCTTCCTTTTTCTGTTTGACTATTTGAGCCCATGTAACGAGTAAATTTCTCCACTGTGAGATCAATTAAGTCAATCAATCAACCACTCACAATTAAATTTGTTCCCTGCTGCAGAACATCGATCCCCCGGAGAGGAAGTTCATCCTTGAAGTTTTTTCTGGGTGTGTTGAATATAAAAAGCTGCTGGATGTTGTAATCAGTGCGTTTTATGTTGGGAACAAGAAGTGGCTTCGCAGAAGTGACCGCAGCCAGTTTATCGGTAAGTAAACCATCTTACTGAAGACAGCCATAAGTGAAAAATCAGAATCTCTGACTTAATGTTATATGCCTTCCCAGTTATCTGTTACCTTACCATATTTTCCCTGGATGAACTTGGGTTGAAAAATTTTAGCAGCATAGTTAAGTCTCTAGGCACCCAGAAGATGCATCTGGTGAGTGCTTGAACGCAGTCAGTAAAACATTAAGGTGATGAGAAAATCTGATTGTTTTTAATGTCTCTTTATTTTTTTCATTTTTTCCCCATTCTCTTTAGTTTCTTCATTTTTTCTTATCAAACCTCACCCATTTGATACAAGAGGAGTTGAACAGCATCTATGAAGCTGAATTTGTGCAGAAGAATCTGGTTGGCCCTCTCCTCAGGTAATAGCAAGAGAACAATAAGGAGAATCCTTTACTACAAAGTGAAATTAATGTGTCTATGTGTCCTATAGGTGGCGCCCTGAGATCAATCTCCTCTTGGATCAGCTTGATGCTGCAAAAGAGCTTGAAGTCAGGAAAGCTGCAGTTAAAACTACCCAGTGTGAGGAGTTCAACCTCACCAAACCTAGACCTCATCTTCCACCCATCCCGGAGCCGATCTCTGTTCAAGAAAAGTCCAAACCAGTCAGGATCAAATATCTTTAGAATCATAATCTAACTCTCTCTTTTGATTAGTGTTTTTTATTTTATTTTCACTTTTTCCAAAGATTACAGTTTGTGAGCCTATTTAACTAGCTATGGTTTGTATTTTAATGCCAGTTGAAAATATAAAACACTGAATGTTTTTTTTTTTCTTAAAAGATAAAGAATAGAGCTCCAGGCATTAAGCTTGTCTGGGTGGAAAAACAGTAAGATGCATGGGTTCTTGTTTACTATGAACAGCAATTATAATAAAAAAGAGACAATTACTGCAACATGATTTGAATATCAATTATGGAATTGCAATAATTGCAAGAATTCTGAAAAAAAAAAGATTAAAGCCATTGTAATGTAATATTGGTTACAGTAAAGTTTAGTTGAGTCCATGGTCAATTTTTACACAGAAAAATCTTATTTTCTTGGCATTCAAACACATTTCTTTTAATTTTTTACGACCTGAACTAGAAAATATTAGAACATGTTATACTGTCCTAGAGGACAACTTCACTTCCCTTATCTTCATCCTGATTGATGTTATTATCTTCATGTGCCTTATTTCCTCCCTGTAGGGGATTCTTGTAGCTCAATGCTTCTTAGTTCTTCACAATGTTTTACTTCTTCCTTCCTTACTGGTATAAACAATGAGACTGTTTTTTCTATAAATGGAGAGAATGTAAGGAAATTATAATCAATGGGACATTATAGTAGACTACAGCTAGCAAAGTTTTACTCTAGGTTACAATTTACATTACCGCTATAAACATTAAATGTATCTCCTTTAAATTGTAAAGATCAACGGGAATTTGTGATTAAAGATACACATTTGAAAATTATATATTACGCACAGTCATTTGAAAAATAAAAATTTTACAATTATTTAATTAGAGGTGAACTGACTAATTCACCAGTTAGTACTGTTGCACTCTTAAAAGAATCAGGAAATGTTATTGCCAGACTATTGTGAAGCAGAGCTATTTTCTAAAAGAAATGCTGCAGGGTTTGGATATGGTTCCCTGAAAGTCATGTCCCAAATTAAATCACTATAATTGTTTCCTTATGGTCTTTCTTTTCTTAGCATTGTGTCATTAATAGAGATTCATCCATCTATTTTCTATTTTCTTTGTATAACAGTTTCTACTTTCCCAGGTCCCAAACAGTACGTACACGGCTCCAAAAGAAATGCAGATAATAGAGGAGATTAAAGAGAAGAACCAACAAAAGGCTGAGGTACAACGTCTGCTTTTGCCTTCATCTTCACAAAACAGGTTTTGGCTTCTGATAATAACATGTAATTTAGAGAACAGCAAGTTCCATCTGAAATAATTTTTATAAGACTATAGAGGCAAGAAACGCAGTAACACAACCAGGGGAATCAGCCCCTGGTTGTGTTACTTTTACGCTGACTGTAGTATAGCATGCACTCATTTCCGTATCTCTGTGTTTCCAACCTAAGGAACTTCTGTATGAGGCTAATGTGAACCAGTTTAGATGTGGGAATCCAGAGAAATCAGAGCACACAAAGGTAGGAGGTATTTCCTGCTTTATATGCATCCATCTCCTACCTGATCCATGAAGCATTTGCACAGCTCCTCAATATAATGATAATTAAACTTTATTGATCTCACATTGGAGAAATTTACATTTGCATTTAACCCATCCCCTTGGGGAGAGGTCGGCTGCCATTGTGTGGCGCCCGGGGAGCAGTGTGGGGTTAAGGCTCTTGCTCAGGGATCCAGAGTGGCAGTCTGTGGGAGTGGAGCTCGAACTCAGAACCTCAGGATTCCTAGCTCAATGCCCTAACCACTAGGCCATCACGCTGACTTCAGTGACAGACATCTGTATCCTTAACGCACAAAGGGGCGTAATCACTGATCCTTTCTCCCAGTAGCGGTTGGATTTACTGTACTTCTCTGCTGTTATCCCACATATTTTTTCTTGTCAACAGCCTGTTGGCATTTTTATGCATTCACTTACACATATTCTTTATGTTGACAAATTGGGCTTACTATGCAGTTTTTATTTTTGGCTAACATTTTTTTACCTTGTGTGTATCTATCTCCATGCTTCCATTTGTGTTTTATTTTGTTGCTTAAAACTAAATTCATCCTTTGGCTGATAAAATGTTTTTCTGTTTCATTCTATTCTATTGTAATAAAAAGCTTAACTAATCATCTTCAAATCTTAAATATATATTTCTTTATTATGAGTTCTGGCATATACATAAAAAATAATGTCAGCATCATTAGATATAAAATATATATATATGTCGGATCTATGAAAACCTGTCTTCTGGCCGAACCTCTTTTTCATTTAGTCCAGATTGCATAAAAAATTAGAGGGATGTATAATGAAAACATATTTATTCTGAGAATCATAAGATTAGCTCTTCCATTGAAAAGCAAATGAAAAAAATGGACCAAACCCATAAATGGATCAATAATCACAGTGATATAGAGTGATAAACTAAGTAAGAAGAAAGAAAGAAAGAAACAGGAAATCCAGCTTTGGGAAGGAGAGGAAACAGTTTTTTCTGCATAATTTGGATTTTAAGATGCCTTATTTAACATAATGGACACCGTTTGTAAGCAGATTTTATCAGAGAAAAGCCTGGAGGTTACGAGTCTAAAAACATTTTAGGACAGGAGAGGGCGCATCTGCTTGTGGGTCAGACATTGCTTGTTCTCTCAGAACCTACATGGGTTTATGCTCCTTGGTCGGTCAGCTTTTTCATCTATATTTTTCTCAGCTTTAAAGGGGCCCTCCATTTTCTGTTTGCCCTAACTCCAGACAAGGCGAGTTTATGTCAGCACAAAATTTTAAGTGTTATACGGATGGATAACAGCTCCTCTTTTGGGCAGCAATCCAAAACAAAATCTTTCTGAAATACCTAAGAAGATCACAGTTAACAAAATAAAACAAACAAAATAACAACAAGCTAATCAAACTGGATTAGGAGTGGCTTCATTTATTGTATTTTCGGCTGCATAGTCCATCTCTATCTCCTTACTCTCTCTGCTATTCTACATCACTTTTTCCTAATGGTTCAGCACCCTGAAATAGACAGATATTAGGAGTAATGTTTTTAATACAGTATTTCAAAAAACTGTGAGTATAAATCCCAAAACCCTTTTTTTTTAACCTTCCTAGAAAACAGAAATATTATTTCAGAATAAGTGATAAGAAGCAGAAGGTAGCTCACATCAGGCACTCAAAATGTAGAAAGATGAATGTGACTTTTTCACCTTTGCTCACCAAATATATGAAAAGTGCGTTAACCTTCAATAAGTGTGAATAATTTTAAATAAACAGATTTATTGTTTTGGAAATCAAAAAAGCACTTCCTGTGCAATCAAAGATGATTTAGTCCAAATTTCATCTGAATACTTTTTTACCTGGCTTGGGGAGAATATTGAAGTTGTTTTTTTTTTTTTGTCTGCATGTTCAACGTTGCTTTATGTGCATTTCAAAAACCAGTACAAATGTAACTGATCAGCCTAACATTTCATATTTTTCCCATTGTTCTAATAAATTAATTTCAAAGCTTTACATTAAGGTAATTAGTTGGATGATACTAGAGGAGAACTGAAGCATTTCTGCTGAAACCCACATTTGTTTTGCAGAATGTGATTTCCCAGATTACGGCAGACTTTAACTCCAGGTTGAAGTTTGATTCTTTTCGTTCATCAGCGATTCCACCCACTAGTAAGGTAATAATTCATTAGTCTTACCTGCTGCACATTATCATCTGTATATCTTCTATTCACACGGGTATTTATTTAATTATTGCAGGTTAAAAGCTATTCAGTGAAGCTTAATAATGCAGACATTCGGAGAAAAGAGGCTTTGCATGACCGTCAAGTGAAGGGGAATCTACAGAGGTACTGAAATACATCTACTTGTTTATAACCATAACAGGAATGCATGATATCAGGAAAAAAAGTGATATAAACAAAGAACCATGCATTTTAAAAACAACGTTTTATGAGTTCCATCTAACTATTTGGGGAAAGAAGGTTTATAAATGACTTTATCAGAATACCTACCTAAACAAATTTTACGTTAGACATAAAACATAAACAAACATGTTACAGACATACAGAGTTTGGATGCATGATAATAAAATAAATAGTAATAACTACAGTATCTGCTTTTAAGCATCTATACCTGCTTACAAATAGCCTTATTTGATCTAGATTGACTTTGATGTCTTAATGAACATCCATACCTGCCTCTAAAAATGTGTACCAGTTTTTAGATATATATTCCTATTAATAGAAATAACTATATTCGCTTAATATTATCTGTAACTGCTTATAAACATCTATAACTGACTATGGTTATCTGTATCTAGTTAAAATGATTTGTGAAGCTATATATGTTGCTTTAGACACCAAGTAAAAATTTTATACAGTTTAAAAGATTTTAATAGTTGTCAAAACAAATTTGAACTGTTTACTCTAATGAGATCATATATCGCTCTGAAAATAGCCCAACAGTTTATGCATTAAATGATATTCCCCCATCTATTCTATAGCTTAACAGTTTGGGGACCAGACTAACTAAACAACAACTAACCCAATAAGATCATAGAACAAACAGGGATTAAAAATAATGGATCAGAAAGCTTTGATCCAACTATTTCTTTTAAAAGCTTTTTTTTTTTTAAATATATTTAAACAGTTATGTATCTGAAATGAACACAGGATTAACAAATACACAAAACCATGGCCTTATGAAACGAGGAGTAGTAAGTGAAACTATTTGCCAGGGAAATACAAAACAAATTTCGGTAAATCATCATTATTAATCTAAGGTATAAAATTATAAACTTATTACCATCTAAACTCAGGAAAATGAAAGAATCCAATTCATTAAGTTGGAAGTGAAGAAATGGTTAAAGGGGAAGCAAGTCTGTGAGCACTAATAAGGTCTATGCACAACATTACTTCCTGAACTTAAGGCAGCTCCTCTATTTCATTACCGGATGAAATGATTAATCCAGGTGTGCCTGACTTCAGTAACCATGGCCAGATCCACCTGGATTAATCAGTTCATCCAGTAATGAAAGACACGAAACAAAAGACATATGTCCCCATATGTTTTCATGACATATGGGGACATTTCATTCACTTGCAAATGATTTCATATGGCCTAATCCCTTATCCTAACCCTAACTATTGCCAACATTAACTAACTGCAACCTTAACCCTAACCTAACCCCTACTCACAGGACAGAGCTGTACTGTATGGGGACCAGTTGAATGTCCCCGTATGTACCTGTAAGTCCCCACATGTAGGATATTTTACAAAATACTTCCTCTAATTGTAGGTAAAACAAGACCACACCCTGACACACACACACACCCACCCACACACACACAGTTTTTTTAATTTCACCATCACAATGAGGACCAGTTGTTATAAAGTGAGGAAATTTTGCTGGTCCTCACAAGGTATGTTGCTAATGGTTAGGTTTAGGGCTAAAGTGTCAGTTGGGTTAGGGTTAGGGGGAGGTTTGCATTGGTAATGCTTAGGTTTAGGGTTAGTTTTATGGTTAGGGCGTAGAAAGGGTTGAAAATGACTGAAAAACAATGGAAGTAAATGTTAGTTAACACATGATCCTGACTACACCTAGAAGAACAAGCATGTGGGTGTATGTGTGTGTGAGTGTGTGCAAATTAGCTGGCTTTATGAACCTGTATACATACTATAAGCTTTTAGACAGTGTTTAATATATTTTTCCCTGTTAAATTAAATTTAAACATAATAAATATCTAGATGTTAGGGAATATCTATATCTGCCTCTCAGCTTGAATTTCTTCCTCTGCAGAGGAAAGTAATACTAAAAAAAGGCTGCTTGAATCGCCTCGAAACTGTAATATGACCTAATGCACAATAACTGCCTCATATAGCTGGAGGCTGTTTTTGTCAATAACTTTTCTCTTCATAACAAGCCGCAAGTTATAGAGAGGCTTCTCCACTTGACTGACTGAGAATATAAATCAATGTTTTAACAGAATAGAGCGACTGGTGGAAGGAGGTCGAGACCCCTTATCTATCCTGCAGAGGGAGAGGGAGATCCTGAAGAGGGAACATAAGGAACAGGTGCAAAGGACTGAACTAAAGCGTCTGGAGACACAAATCTGTAAAAAAGAGGTAGCTCTGGCTCGGACTCGGATTACCGAACAAAACCTTAAGGCTGCCCAGCTGAAGAAGGAAGAGGTACGTAGTTACAAGTCAATAGTGTCGCAACACTGGAGAGATGATTACAAAAATGTGTCTATTACTTATCCCTCTTCATCACTCACCTGAGAATATCTTGTTTTTCGCCAGACTATTCAGCTCATGAAGAGATATGCAGAAAAACGTCTGCAGGAGGAAGAACAATTCAGGGAATTGGCAAAACAGGTGGCAGAGGGCGAGAAAAACGCAAAGGCAGCTAAAGAAAAGATCACAAAGTTAAAGCAGAAAATTGGTACGACTTAAACTTTGACAAAAGACAAAGAGCAATTTTGTGATTCATTATGACCTCTCGTCAATTAAACGCTCATTTCACAGTGAAAGAAGTATCCGAACAAAATCAGGAGCTCCTTCGTCAAGCGCTTGAGGAACAACAGAAGGAGCTTTGCAGAAAGTTTCAAATCATCCATGAAATTCACGTTATTGAGACTCTTCCTCGCATTAGACTAAACGGTTTCGATGACACGGAGGTGAGTAGATTTCACACACAGCTTCATGGTAGCCTGCGGGACCTCTAACCTGTCTTTGGGTGTCAGACTGCGGACCATGAGCTGCACAGTGGGATGTCCCTGGCAGAGCTGAAGGTGAGGCTGGCTCTGCTGAGGCAGCGCCAGCAGAAAGAGGAGGAGGAGAGACGGAGCCTCATTGTGGCGGAGAGACAGAAAAAGAAGCAGGAGATGCAGGAGGCGCTTGAGAAAATTGAGCTACACAGGAGAGTGCTTGCAAAGGAAGCTGCAGACAGGTAGTCGTTCTGAACTGTTCATAAAAGTGGTGAATTCCAACTTAAACTGATGGTGGCTTTGAAACATTGCAGAAAAGAGGAAAAAAAGGCCAAGCAGAAGCTCCTACAGCAGTTTGTGGCTCAGGATGAAACCATCCTGGCTCTAAAAAAGAAGTTAGAAGAGAAGACGCAGGAGTGCCAGAGAGTGAAGCAAACTGAGATGAGCAGGACCAAACCCGCAAAGAAGACCTCCACAGGACCGCCTGCTCAGGTGAGTTTACCTCAGGAGTTCATCCTGCTGGTCTTTGAGTTTCTGCATTTACAATTAATCATTCTCTTTATCTTCTTTTCCCAGAAAGATGTAAAAACATGGGAGGAACTGGAGCAAAGTTTAGCTCGCTATATTCAGGATACTCCATGATTCAACCTTTTCCGAGAAAACACGTAACGGTCTTGTGAAAGGCACTCCCTAAGATAGTTCTTGCTTTATCTTCTCATGATCTTAAAGTTTCCTGACACCTTATTTTGTTTTAAATCCTATTAAAGTGACTTTATGCACAGAATCAGATCATCAGCTCCCCTCCTGTTTCTAGACCAGATTTTGTTTCATTTCCTCCCACAGCTTCATAAAGCATGAAAAGGTGAAAAGAGAAGTGGGCCTTGAACCTGTGACTCAACAGGGAATTTTCCCTCCCAACAAAACCAGTTCATGGAAACAAGTTACTAAAATCTGTTCATTGTTACTAAGAATTTTCAGAATTATCTGTGCAAAAATGTCACATAAAGAAAATTGTGGCATTAACTTATTGTCAATTTAAAGTCATATAGAAAAATATATTTCCCCCCAGCAAAAAAGAATCAGTCAGTCTTTACATCTACAGCACTCTACATAGTCAGCTGTAACGCAAATGGTTTGTATAGGTCGGAATAGGCACACACAATGAAATAATTAAATCCAACTAAATATTGATATCAAAACAATAACGAATAAAAGGAACTGTGGAATGAGGAACCAAGGAGTCATGTTTGTTAACCCGGATCACAAGCTAAAGTGCAAGAAAATTTTTTATGCTTACTAGAGAAGAAATGAAATTATTAAAAAAAGGAACTTACAAAAATGTTCATTAGGAACAGGCCAATGACAAAACAACAGGAGAAATTTTGATGTTGGTGCTAAAGACAATGGCAGCTAAACAGAATCCTGCAGAAAACAGAACAAGTCAGTTTAAAGGTGAAGAAATTCCAAACAAACAGAAGACTTCAGATGAAATGAGGAGTAGCCGAGTAAAGGTAGAGCAGCTGAGGGACAATACTAATTACCCAGAACTGTCCTGAAAAGACATACCAAGAAATCCCCTCAAATATCTAACGGGAAATATATTATAAACATAAAAAGGTTAGGTGTATGCTGTTGTTTATGCAACCAAATAACTACATAAATTCCTGGTGCAGGACAGGAGGGGCAGTAGTTCACAGCAAGGTCAACACCTCCACGAATACCTCTCTTACAACCATTATGGATAGATCTTGGTCAGAGAAGACAGATTATTTAAAAGAGGTGTGGAGGAAGCCATCTTTGTCAAAAGAGAAAAGGCAAACACTAAACAGTAGGGAAGCCTTGCGGTTTCAGCTCCCAAGCATATATAAACAGTCTCATCAAGATGGCCAAGGACACAACTCACCAAATAACAGACTCTAGCAGCTCAGGAGAACAACAGATGAGCCATTGATTCACATCTAAATGTGCCTGTAGGACAGAGGGCCTCTATGTGCTTTTAAACAGAACATTTTAAGAAAAACTGAGAAAAACTCTGTTTGCCTCTGATTTAAGGCCATTTAGTGGGATTAAAAATGAACATAAAACAAGGAAAAGGTCAGAATACACACTAAAAAAAAATAAAATGAAAACTCAAACATCTCAGGTTTCTGAAATTCTTTACTTGGATTATTGTGTAGGTTTAATAATGACACAAAGATGTAAAAGAAAAATAGGTAAAAACTGGACAAATCAAGGAATATTGACACCATTCATAATTGATGTCAATTTTTTTACGAAATCTAAGCAAATAATGAAAAACTAAATGATTTAGATGAATAAAACATGCTTCACTGAGGTGAATAAAAATACAGGATAAGTAGAAATGTCACATATTAAGGAAATAATATAAACAGCTATAAATGATTGATGTTATATTGATTTGAATAAAATAAAACTGTTTTTGAAGATTTAAAAAAAGGATGTGCACAAGTGATTGAAGTGATGAGAAGCACAAAAGATATACATATATAAAAAACATATTAAACATATATGATTGATGATGTAGAAATATGAGATAATGATAAAGTATGCATTTGTGTAAATTAGATATGAACAAAGAGATGTTACTTAAATGGTTGGTGTTTAAAAAAATGTTAGATGAAAATACTTCCTACTACACTTAGTAAATAATTGACTTTACACAGAGAACAAATAATCTATAAATAAATCAAAATAAGTAAATCAATCAAAAATGATCGACGTAAATTAAAATAAGTTACCTAAATATTTGGTGTGAATAGAAATATATAACTGGTGCTTAATCTGAATAATGACAGAAAAATGTGACAAAATAAAGAAGACTGGACAGACTGGAGATGTAAGTTAAAAGTATATTTTAAAAATTCATAATTGATATACATACAAATGTGAATGTATTAGGGAAGAGGATTAGGGCCACTGAAAAAAATAAAAGAAGTTAACTGATTTTTAAATATTATTTCAGTTTAATATTGGAAAAAAGTCAGAATTCTGACTTTAATCTCAGAATTCTGACTGAATTCTGACAGCTAACAAACATGTTAGCATGAAGCTGAACCCATGTCATGTTTTAGAGACTAGCTCTCTTGTTTTAATGCCCTTCTGCCCCTCCATTAATGAAATAGCATCACTGGGGACGCCTTTGGCATGTAAAAAGTTGCCTTATTTTGTCATTTTTTACCTATGTGTTACTGGTCCTCCCAAACAACTCACTCAGTGAAGTGCTCCTACATCTCTTCCTTCATTGTGTCTACATTAAGATCCAAAATCCTGAGATTAAAGTCAGAATTCTAAG